TTTCCATTCTGAAATTGGAATTCTGAATTGGAAATTGAAATTTGAGATTGAAATTTTGAATGAAAATTAAAAATTGAAAACTTCAATTGAAATTTCGAATTAAAACTTTTAATATAAAATTGAAATTTGGAATTCAAATTTAAAATTGAAATTAAAAATTGCAATTAAAAATCTGAACTTGAAAATTGAAAGTTTTTATCTGCTGAATGGTAAAAAATGAAAAAAGTCATTCAAATTTTCTTGTTATTAATTTCCTAGTATCCCATCGAATTTCTATATATAATCATAATAATAATGCTTTCTCAAGCATGAGAAGCGAAAAAAAAATTTTCAGGAAAAACAAATTGGACAAAAAAATTTGAGAATACTAAAAAGAAGTTTCACTTCTGTCGCGCGTGGACTCCACGCACTCTGTTTTTTTTATATATCAGTCCTTCGTGACAATTCTTTCGATTTTCATTTAGTCCTTCGAGACTTTTCCTTTGTAAATTTTGGTAACCGTCTGGTAACTGTCGAGTGTTAGGTTTATGTGAAATCATTGTGATTTTAAAAAACTAATTAGTTTACGCGGCAATAAGTTAAACAGTGAAATTTGTGTAACCATTGGATTTAGCAGAGATACAACATTTGTAAGTCTCTCTCTTTCAAATTTTTTTTTTCAGTGTTTTTTTTGTTTTTAAAACATAGACTCTCAGGAGTCATTTTTAAACTAAAATTGTGTTCGCATTTTTCTTTTATCCAGTGGGGTTTTTATACTCTGGGGGATATTCGAAATCGGTTTTAGTAATAATTCTAGCTAAAGTGACCTATCCGGTCTTGAACAGCTAATCGTATTAAAAATTCATGTCATTTTGTTCATTTTTGACGTGACAGCTGACAAATCGTACAAAATGAACCGATTCGTTCCAAAAATTATTGGTCAAGGAGATTAGGAGTCTCAGTGGGGGTAAGACAACTCTTCGTTATCCAGATGATAGGGGTAAACATAAAAGAAAATTTTAATACTTGATCAGGCGGGCTTGCGGTGGGAAGAAAGAAATTGAGATTCTGTTTCTTGTTCTGTGATGAGCGAATGTGTGCGTTAATTCGGTTGAAGGAAAAAATGTGATGAATTTCAGTGATGTTTGAGTAACTTCATAGTCCCTGTGAAGCTATTATTACCTATAACTTTAGAAAAGCATATTTGCATTGGAAAAAATAATTAAAATTATCCATTCTGGTTTTTAGGGGCTCTCGATCCGTATGTGCTTCGACTCATTCCAACGCTGTTTACAAAGAGCGGTCCAGTCACTGAACAAGTAGAGGATCGTAAGCTACCACCTCCGAAACGACAAAAAGTGCAATCAGGAACTCAGGAGCCAAAATCCAAAGAAGTGGAATCCGACTAAAGTTGACGTGAAGAATGGTTTTGCAATACACGTTCACGTAAGTCATTAATTTATTTTTATTATCGTGTCGTTATGATTCAATAGTAACAGTTTTTGTCAAAAATCACGATTAATCTAAATGGTGAGTTCTTTTCCAAATTTCCATTTTTTGTCTCTTGAAAAAATGCGCTTCAAAAAAGCTTTAAATAAAAAAAAAAGATTGGAAAATATTAAAAATTCGGGAAAGTTTGAATTTTTTGAAAATTTTTCGTTGTTTTGTAAATAAATATTCTCAGTGGATTTTTTTTTATGTTCATCCTAAATTCCATTTGAGTTGAGAGGTATCACGTTGTCATTTGCTACACGAAATGAATATGACAAGAGCTTCAGAATGATTTCCTTCAGTTACAATGATCTCAGAGACCTCATTTTCTAAAGATCCGAATCTTTCGCCAGAAATTATGTGTTTTTAACTGGTTATACATCAATGATTGTCACACCAAATCTAAATGTCAAATGTCACTCAATTTTTCAGAGAATGTAGCCTATTAAATGTTGTTTCGGATAGCAGTTTTTTCGTGGGGAGCTGATTTATTGTCAATTTTTGTAAATTATATTATCTCCAAGCGATCACTGCTCAACTAAGATGATTAATATCTTCTAAACTCAATGTCAAGAAATTATTTTTGAAATTCAAGAAAATGGAGGAATGTACACCCTTTCGAATGAGTTACAATGAATGGGGGGTCAAGTTGAAAGGCTGTAGCTACACTGTTAAAACAAATTGTCTGAAATTTCCGGTACACTTTTCGGAAATTTTTATCGGATTCAATTTCCACTGAAATTTCAATGTATTTTCTCATTGGAATTGAAGAAAACCATAAAATTCCGGTTAATTTATACATGAATTTTAAGAGAAGTGACACCGAATACGATTCAAGGGGAAAAAATCATGGAATTTCAGGTTTCACTGAAAATTCAGTGCAATTCGGGAATGAATATTCACATTTCATTGAAAATTTGAATAGATTGAGGAATTCTCGACTTTATGCCAATTAAAATGCTGGAATTTTACTGGATTTTCAATGAAACCTGAAATTCCATGATTTTTTCCCCCCTAAACCGCAATCAATGTCACTGTCCTAAAAATTAGTAGTCATCTGTCCATGAAATTCCAGTTTTGTTTTTCCAACAAGGAACACTAGGGAGGTGTTCCCCTCCGATTTCGATGAAACTCATATATGTTGTAGAGGACTCGAAACTAAGCGACACATATTTTTTTTTATCGGCGGATACGCAGTTTTAAGGGAGGAAACCATGGTCAGAAGGTGACCACTTTTGGGGGTGATTTTTCAATTCCACGTATAAGAAGGGAATTTTGTTAAATGTTCATTATAGGAATAAATAGCTTGTGAGGAATTATGAAAATCACAATTGATAGTTCCTCCGGGGGTTGAAATTTGGGGGGTAAACTACCCCTGTAAAGACTTCATTTTTCAAAAAAAAAAACTATGATTCAGAATTTTATGAAACCAACTACGTTGGATGGAACATGGAAAAATGCGGAATACTGTTTTTGGTTTTTCCCCAGAACTGGAGTTTTCTAGGGTGAAAAAAATAATTTCCCGGCAACATCATCCACCAAGGTGGTGGGGTTATTTATTCAATTTATCCAACTGATGAATAGCTGGGGAGGAATTATGGAAATCACAATCACTAGTCACTCTGAGGTTTCAAATTTGGGGGTTAACTACCCTCATGAAAATTGTGTCTTTCAGAAAAAAAATTGTTTATTTAAAAAAATTTGCAAAAAAACAATTATATTAAAAAAAAAACATGAAAGAATGCAGCTAGGGGCCGGATAGCCCAGTAGGAAGAGCACCCGATGCAAAAAAAATGCGGAAACTGGTTTTTCATTTTTTTGTTCGAAACTGGAATTTTCAGAGGCGCAAGTTTGATTTTGTCGAAAACTATGAATTATTCAAAATATATATATGTATATATAGTTTATTAGGGAACATAATTAGTACAGAAATGATATTCATCAAAAAAATGGTGTATGCAGAGAGACTTTCTGCACCCCGAGCATCTAACTACCGCAACATTAGAACAACCATCAACTTCACATTTTGGATTAGAAGATTGTCCAAACGCAAAATCGACAGGATTATCAAATTTCTTTGATTTTTTTAGCGATGTAGCCACTCTGGAACCAAGCGTAACGAAATAGGTTTTGATGCCTCGGTGATGATAATTGATTATGGAGTAAAAATTGCAATTTGATCACATTATTCCGCGCATGCAAATTAATATCATGATTTAAGAGAACAGCCGTATCTGAAAAATCACGGACGTAATTTTTCCAAATCCTGAAGCCGTACACATCAAGAGGTTGAATTTTTCTGGTAGTTCCTTTGGGGATTAACATAGTTAATAATTCTTTATTCCGAGGAGTTGCCTGTTCTATCACTTGAGAGCAATGTCCACTCCATGAATCGATTAACAGTAGACTTTTTGGTCCCACGTTTGGAAAGAATATTTCTTCCAGCCAAATTTTAAAGTGCTCTGGAATAGGTGCAATGGGATGAACATTACAATCAGTACAAATAAATTTGTTACATCTTAAGTTTGAAATATCGCCTCACCAGACGTCAATTTCCCTGACTTTGAAGCCGTTATGTAAACATTAGAAGGTCTGAATAGATTATCCTGAACCCTTAGACCAAACATTCCGGAAGGTTCCTTGTAAACAATGAAGAAAGGTGACAATAATTTTCCATCTGCTGATATGGTGGGTATGGTATAACTGTGTGTCGTTGATGTTACAGATTGTACAATGCATGCGACTTCTTTAGACCCCTCTTCCGCCAAAGTTCGCCCCGCATGCGTTTCCAATTGAAAACCACTCTGATCAGAAGTATAGATGTTTTGCAAGCCATAAATCTCAAAATATGGTTTGATCTGTTGCAGGAATTCGTCGGCTCTTTTTTGTAAATCTTTTTGATTTTCCATTGTTTTACGTGTGACGAATTTAGTAATCCTGCGAGATGTGATGCAATGAGCTTTTTTGAAATAATGTAGCCACCATGCCGAGGCCTTGAAACGAATATCTTGATATCCAATATCTCGTTGAGCTTGCAGAGCCTATCTTCGTAGGTCGGCATCATGAACAATTAGCCCAGCATCGATAGCATTTTTCATATTTTTCAACGTGTACTCTGATATTCGTTTCAAATTTTCCATATGAGTTCCTCCTTTATTGACTTGATGTGCCCAACGACGTAATTGCTGGACCGATTTCACTCTTTTCAATTTATTGGAAACAGTTTTTATAGACAGATTTTTCTTTGTTTTTGCACTCCTCCAGTATTCGACTGCTCTTTTTTTATAGTCATAATCTACAAGTTCGTCATCCTCTGAACAACTATCAGATGATTCTTNATGGGATGAACATTACAATCAGTACAAATAAATTTGTTACATCTTAAGTTTGAAATATCGCCTCACCAGACGTCAATTTCCCTGACTTTGAAGCCGTTATGTAAACATTAGAAGGTCTGAATAGATTATCCTGAACCCTTAGACCAAACATTCCGGAAGGTTCCTTGTAAACAATGAAGAAAGGTGACAATAATTTTCCATCTGCTGATATGGTGGGTATGGTATAACTGTGTGTCGTTGATGTTACAGATTGTACAATGCATGCGACTTCTTTAGACCCCTCTTCCGCCAAAGTTCGCCCCGCATGCGTTTCCAATTGAAAACCACTCTGATCAGAAGTATAGATGTTTTGCAAGCCATAAATCTCAAAATATGGTTTGATCTGTTGCAGGAATTCGTCGGCTCTTTTTTGTAAATCTTTTTGATTTTCCATTGTTTTACGTGTGACGAATTTAGTAATCCTGCGAGATGTGATGCAATGAGCTTTTTTGAAATAATGTAGCCACCATGCCGAGGCCTTGAAACGAATATCTTGATATCCAATATCTCGTTGAGCTTGCAGAGCCTATCTTCGTAGGTCGGCATCATGAACAATTAGCCCAGCATCGATAGCATTTTTCATATTTTTCAACGTGTACTCTGATATTCGTTTCAAATTTTCCATATGAGTTCCTCCTTTATTGACTTGATGTGCCCAACGACGTAATTGCTGGACCGATTTCACTCTTTTCAATTTATTGGAAACAGTTTTTATAGACAGATTTTTCTTTGTTTTTGCACTCCTCCAGTATTCGACTGCTCTTTTTTTATAGTCATAATCTACAAGTTCGTCATCCTCTGAACAACTATCAGATGATTCTTTATGACGTGGTTGGAACTCTGTATCCTCAATTGGTATCATTTCGATGTTTTTGCATTGCTCTTGGAAATCAAGAGTTGATTCTTCAATAATTTCCACCCCATTATATTCCTCTATAGTTAGTTGCAATATATTCTCGAAATGAGTTGCCAATTCTCGTTCTTCATTAGTCACAGGGGTTTCGCCAAGATTCAGCACTTCAAATGTTGCCATGAGGATCTTAATAACGTTTATAAGATTGAATCTCATGATGAAAAGAATTCAAAATATACGATTAACAAGAGACAGTCTTGCCGTGATGTGTTCACGTAAACTGAACGCTGCACAAAATGGAAGTGAATAATATTCAGGGTTATCAATAATACATGATTACTGCATGATGGATTACCTATTTTTGGATATAGGTGACGCGTGCACGGCTATTTGCATTTTGTTTGGATTTATTATCGCTTTCAGCAGTGTGTTATCATCACATATATACTATAATAATGAAGTCTCTTAGAACCATTACCCCGGTTCCTCCGACATATGAAAAAAACAAGTTCAATCATTCGTTGAACGATATGGAAAAATTCCGATTATTTAGCAAATTTTTTTTCGTACTCGTCACTGCTTTTTCTTCAAATATAACCAGCCTATTGCTGTAACTGAAAAAAAAGGAAATTTTTTTCCAAAGAATCTTTTCTTTGATCTATTTTTATCGTTATTCGTTTATCGCCGAATTTTGGAAAAATATCATT